CTCAAATCTCCTTAAAAATCAAGTTTAAGTATCTGTTTTCATGTTTCTTATTCACAAAAAATGAAACTGCAGGTAGATGGGAGCAGTATTTGCTGGACAACATCCACAACTTTGCCCAAACAAACTTACTATACTCCAAATGGTCCACATGTTTGCTGTTAGTGCCATTACTCAAAAAAATCTTTATTGGAAGACAAAAGAAAGAAAAACTGAATTTTGGAATACATTTTTTTGACAGTAGTTACAATAGATGATAGTTGGTTAGCAGAGACCTCTTTTTTTTTTATGTCATCGTCGTCATACATACCGGTTTACTGACACCCTCCATTGTGTATTGTTTTTCTTTTATAGATTTGCTAAAAGAGTACTCCTTATTAGATTTTGTTGACAACTCTGATTTAAATCGCATTATATGCCTTCAAAAGGAAGGGACTCTTATTAGCTTTTGACCAAACCATGAATGGTTCACACGGTTTCAAATAATCTCCTGATGGTTTGATTAATTCTACTTCAACACACTTTCATCCCCGAATGGCCGTTTGATTAGACTAGATTTGGATTTTTGTGTTTATTCACACATGTCTTTGTTTAATCTTTTATATACTGAAATAAATATTAGGTAGGCAAACATGTTTTTTTCTTTCTCTATATGTATATGTATATTTAACCTTTCCCAAATCGATGATCGTTGTTCAAACTTCTACGTATTAAGACTTGATTGGTAACAAAGTAGTGCGTTTTTATTGACAAAGATTTGATTATATAGTCTGAACTTTTAAAAAGCTTAAAATCATATCTCAGAAAGTAAATTCAATGGTTAATGAAGATAACAAGGAAAAAGAGGGAATAGATGTATCTAAGGAATGAAACGATTTGAACAGTCGATTTACTTGAGATTCAAAATCTAATGTTGGAAAGAAGAGTCCGTAACACTTTAGAATCAGCATGGGTTTTAGCAATTTCCGCCTAAGACCACTGTGTGTACAAGAATTTTAGCCTACATCTTTTTGACACTATTCATTGGCATTNGTTTTATCATGTCGAAGGGAAGACGATAAAACATCAATAGTCCATGCTTATCCAAAGGCTAGCATAGTGGGATCAACGGTATATTTTAGTGTGGATGGAATGAGATATATGGCAAGCTGAGGTTTTTGCGCAAATAGTGAAAAGAGAATCACGTTGTAAAAGAGGGAGGAGAGACTATGTTGACTTTTTTTTTTTTTTTGAAATGCTACAAATTATTGTTATACTTTCCATATATTTATTTGCATATAAGCTCTTTAGTGTTAAAAAGCAATAGACTTCACTATATTGAAGTAACCTAAGTGTTCCAAATAATCAATAATTTTTAGTTAAACACTATATTCTTTATCGTCTTATTTTATTAACTAAAATTATTAATAAAATGTTTAATAACCCAAAACTTCTTTTTAATCAATAGATTAATTACAATCTAACAAAAAATCCATCAATGTAAAATTACTTTAGCACACAATTATAATATCATCTAAAATACATACACTTTAGAAAAATAATAAAAACGATTTCTTAAAACTATTGTGTTTACACGTTTTATCAAATACAAATAAAAAGCGAAAAGCTTATGAAATGATTCCATCATTTTATCACGAAGCTAAGATACAAAAAAAAAAATTTATCACGAAGCTCAAGATTAGAAAAATAAAAAATAAACAAAAAAATAATGAAATAGTAATACATAATAGATTAAAAAAGTTTTTATGAAAATAAGACCACGATAAAAAAACTAATTAATAATCAAAAATAAAAATAATTTTTAGGTAAAATAGAATAAAAATAAAAAATAATTATAAAAACAAAAATGAATAATTTTTATATAATATAGATATGTTAAGTTATTCTAACCAAATAAATGTAGAATGTATTTTAAATATTCATTTCAAGAATTCTATAAAAAAACTATAAACATAGATCCACAACTATGTAAAATTAAAATATATAGTTATAAAGTCGAATAATAGCACGGTATAAAATAATGTAAGAGAACAAATAAAACTAGGTAACTTCAAATTAAACATCTAAATCAATAGTTTTACCATTAAAATAAAAATAGAATAAAACTTCAAATAGACAATCTTATTAATCGTAAGGAAAATTTTTGTTAATTGTAATGAGAATAAAACTGAATAAAGAATAAAAATCAATAACTATTCATACTAATATAGAACACAAAGTTTTAAATAGAAACAAGTATTAAACAAAAATCAAAATATTTATTTAAATTATTTTTAAATTACCATCCGCCCGTAGGGCGGGTCGAACCTAGTTATAGATAATTTAGGGGGCCACATTCTAAGATAACCAATAGATGAATAATGAATAGTGGTCACCTTTTATTACTTCAGTACACACCTACCTAGCATATGCATTCTATAAGAGATTACTCTTTTTGGGCAAATAAGAGATTACTCTATTACACGAAAAAACACATGCATATTTTGTGATGAAATCAGACAAGGCATACATGTATCATATGATATATATCTATCGAATTAAAGACATGTGATCACTCATATTGTCTACAAATGCGCATAATACAGCTAAACAAGTAACAGAAAAAAGCATATTAAAACATTAAGTTTTTTTACTAGCCGTTTCTAGTAACGTAAATGTTCAGCCAAATTTACTTCGGATTCTTTTCTACTTTCATCAATTAAAGAAACTAAGCTTTTAGGTTAAAACAAGAAAAATGTTGAAACAGATGATTTTCTTCTCTATAAAATCACGAGAAAAGGATTTAAAAGCCTCTAACATAAAAGCTTTTTAATTTCTTACACACACACACATATATATATATATATTCCTTTTCTAGTTAACATTTTTACCAATCATACTTTTAAGATAAAGGGTCTCACATATGGCATAAAGAAAATTTCTAGGATAAACTTAAAAAAGTTTTTTTTTTTGTCACAAATATAGATTTTAAAAAATAAAATAACTAAAATAGACTTAAATGTTTTTTTTTGTCCTTTCGATTAACTAATTCTAGACTTTTTTGTTTAGAGTTGAGGAGTGGATTTTTAAGAATAAGATTTCAATTTTTCTTTTAAATTTAAAATTATCAAAATAAAAAATACTATTTTGGTTATTTTAAGGTGTTGGGTTTTATTTTTGTAATAAAAACTTTGAAAATTATATTTGAAAGAATTTCCCTATGGCATAATTATAATAAAATAAAATATGTAAACATTTATTTCAGCTTATTTATGATCTGGTTTTAGCCTAAACGAAAAAAATATTTCAACCAATTTATTATGAAATAATAAAATTATGTAACTCTTTTCTCAACTTTTTGAATATCTCTTGATATATTATCCTAAAATCGAATCGCAGCTGAACAAAAAATCAAAACCATACCAAAAAATACAAAATCTGAATAATTCCTATTTTCTAGATCAAAAAATCGAAAACGAATAAATAAACCTGAATATTATAAATGTAATAAAATATTAATGATTTTTAACTTTAATATATATAAAATATAGTCTATAAATAAAAAGTATCCAAAAACTGAACTATCTGAATATATTTTTTTATTTTTTTGGATCCATATCAGTTTTTCGATATTTTTTAATTTGGAACTTTAGGATTCTCATTTTATATACAATAAACTATACAAAATTAAAAACACTAAAATAACATTAATTATGTCTAATGGCATTACATTTTCTCCCTTATCTTTTCCCTTCTTGTATGGTCCTGTACTCTTTAAATAGAACAGTGTTATAAAAAAAATAACATTAATTTCATCATAAAATTAAAAAATCATTTAATTAAAACAAAAATAAAAACTTTAAAAACACTATTTTAAAAAGAAGACGTTTCATTATTCGTCACTTAATGTTTTAAAGATACTTGTAATAATGTTGCTCCTTTTTTGTTTTTTTTTGTTTTTGTTTTTAAATAATGTTGCTCTAATACCTCCCATTTCACAAACCAATATTAAAAAATATTCACAATGTTAAAATATAAGAAAAAGGTGGGCCGAAAGACCTGCAGCGTGACCACCGAAAGTCAGCGGAGTCCGCTCCTTCACAATCCAACGGCTCGGATTCCAAGAATCAGATTCCCTTCTTTTTTTTTGTAACGTGGATTTCAAACCTGTATTCCATTACGCTTAAACATATCCCCACGCGCCCGCCACCTCCTACCGCTTTATCCCGTCACATCCGCTTCAAACCTCTTTTAACCTCCCTTCTCTTTCTCTCACCACTTCTCCCGGTCACACCAGTTAACTCTTTTTTTTTTTTTTCCCTGCTCTCTCTCTCTCCATCTCAGCTGAGCTGATCGATCTCCTCTTCCTCCTCCCTTTGGATCTGGAAATGTGGTTCTGTCTTTCGGACATTTAAGATTTAGATTCAGTTCTGTTCTGTTCCAGATCGCACGATTCAGCCTCTGATTTTCCGACAAAGGGTAAAGTAAGCTCACAAGTGGATTAGATTTGTTGAAATATTTAATTTTTTAATTGAAATATTGGATTTTGACGTGTTGTTCTTCTTCTCAATCTGATCTTTCAGCTTTGAGTCTGGAGATTTCTATTAACGGTTGACTATTCATTGACTTCTTCTTCTTCCTGCTATTTACTTTTAATTTTATATATATTAAATTGGGTTTTTTTTAAGTTGTTCATCTGATTTGGTTGGTAAGAAAGATCTCTGGTTAGAGAATGTTGGATGAGGATGTTCATCTGAACTTAACTGAATCTCCTGTCTCTTTGATTTTTTTCTTCTTCTTTGTTATAAATTGATTTTATTCAGAAAATTTTCAACTTTATTTAGATCCGATTGTGAAAGCTTTGATCTTTTTGAGTCTTCTTTGTAAGTAAATCTTCTGACTTTTATTATCGTTTACTTATCAGATTTGTTTCCCTTTTTTTTTTCTTAGTTAGATTTTTATTTATTATTCCATTTAATATCATTCCTTATTTGCCAGATTTTGGTTTGACCAGTTTTTTTTCTTCTCTCCTCTGCTTCTATATTACAGGCATACGTTATTGGTTGATAATCACCGCCCAAGCGACAAGCATGTGTGGTCTCTTTAAGAAAGTGGATACAGAGAAGACTCCATCAGACCAAGAGAGTGATTCTTTGGCTGAGTGTGAACATTCATTTTCTGCTTTACTTGAATTAGCTGCAGATAACGATGTGGATGGCTTTAAGAAGCAACTCTCTGTTGTGTCTTGTATCAACCAGGTGGGTCTCTGGTACAGACGCCAGATGTTTGTTAGGAGAATGGTTGTTGAGCAGAGAACACCATTGATGGTTGCTTCGATATACGGAAGTCTAGACGTTGTGAAGCTTATTCTTTCTTTCCCTGAAGCTGAGTTGAATCTCTCTTGTGGTCCGGATAAGAGTACTGCTCTTCATTGCGCTGCTTCTGGTGGTGCTGTGAACGCTTTGGATGTTGTTAAGTTGCTTCTGAGTGCAGGGGGAGATCCTAACATCTCTGATGCTCATGGGAATCGTCCTGTTGATGTTCTTGTTGTGTCTCCTTGCCACGCTCCTGGTTTGAGAACCATCCTTGAGGAGATTTTGAAGAAAGATGAGGTTGTATCTGATGCGTTGTCTTCTAGCTTGGGATCAAGTTTCAGGTCTCTCTCATCATCACCAGATAATGTCTCTTCCTCTCTACTCTCTTTAGAGTCTGTATCCTCTCCAACTAAGGCTAATGGTGTGGATGGAACTGAGAAGAAGGAGTACCCGATTGATCCATCGTTGCCAGATATCAAGAGTGGGATTTATTCCACAGATGAGTTCCGTATGTTCTCGTTTAAGATTCGTCCATGTTCTCGAGCTTACTCCCATGACTGGACTGAGTGTCCGTTCGCACATCCAGGTGAGAATGCGAGGAGAAGAGACCCGAGGAAGTTTCACTACACATGTGTCCCTTGCCCTGATTTCAAGAAGGGTTCATGTAAGCAAGGGGATATGTGTGAGTATGCTCATGGTGTGTTTGAATGTTGGCTACACCCTGCTCAATACAGAACACGTTTGTGCAAAGATGGGACAGGTTGCAATCGAAGGGTTTGCTTCTTTGCTCACTTGAAAGAGGAGTTACGTCCCTTGTACGCTTCCACTGGCTCTGGATTGCCATCTCCTCGGTCTTCTTCAGCCTCTACTATGGACATGGCTTCTGTTTTGAACATGTTACCAGGCTCACCATCTGCTCCACTCTCTCCTTCTGGAAACGGTGTGTCATCTATGGGTTGGCCTCAACAGAACATACCTGCGTTGCATCTTCCTGGAAGCAATGTCCAGCTGAGTCGTCTGAGATCTTCTTTAAACGCGAGAGATATTCCTTCTGAGCAGTTCAGCATGCTGCAAGAGTATGAGATGCAGCGTCAGCTCGTTGGAGAATTGTCCTCTAGTCCACGCTTTATGAATCATCATTCCGCTCGTCCCAAGACCTTGTTGACCCCTTCGAACCTGGAGGAACATTTCTCAGCAGCAGAGGTTTCATCTCCTCGTTTCTCTGATCAACTTGCTGTCTCTTCTGTTCTATCACCTTCCCATAAGTCTGCGCTACTTAATCAGCTGCAGAGTAATAAGCAGCATCAGCAGCAGAGCATGCTTTCTCCTATTAGGACAAATCTAATGTCTTCTTCTCCAAAGCATGTAGAGCAGCAGCATTCTCTGATGCAACAAGCCTCGTCACCACGAGCAGTCATGGAGCCTATTTCACCAATGAACGCTCGAATGAAACAGCAGCAGCTGCAGCATTCACGTAGCCTTAGCTCCCGTGAGTTTGGATCCAATCTGCCTCGTGATATGATGATGCAGAGTGATTGTGGTTCGCCGCTAAGTCCATGGTCAAGTTGGGACCAGAACCATGGAAGCAAGGTGGACTGGTCGGTACAGTCAGATGAGTTAGGGAGGTTGAGAAAGTCTCATTCCTTGGCTAATAATAATAACTCAAACAGGGAAGCAGATGTTACATGGGTTCAGAATATGGTAAAAGAATCTGCATCACCTAGGAACAGCAGCAACCTATCCATGAACATGAATGGTGCAAGGCCATTGGTTCAAGGGGGTTCGAGTGGGAACAACCCTCATCACAGTGATGGTCGTGAGAGTGACATTCTTGATGCGTGGCTGGAGCAGTTGCAGCTTGATCGCTAACTCAGTGAGAGAGAGAGGTTGACGTTTCTGTGAAGCTGTGAAACTGATGAAGATTTGTTTATTTATTATTCAAGAAAGCACAAAGGAAAGCCACAAACAAAATCCTGGTAAGTGCTTTTTCGATACTAATAACACCCAAAAAGGTTCAGTTTTTTCAGACTTCTTTCTGAAATTTCATTACTTTGTTGTATTTTTATCTCATTAAATTGATTGTTATATCTTTATGTTGTAGCAAAGGGGGGTAAGTGTTCCTCTTTGCCTCATTATTTCCCTTATTTTTTTTTTTATGTATTCTCGTTTCTCAGTTATTTCTAATATCTCAAGTTATATTTGTTTAATGAACAATGTATGAGAAATAATAACATATTGTTTCAGCTAATAAGATTCATTTCCTCTTGGTTTATTCTGTGTTCGTCTGCATCTGTTGATACTCTTAATAGCTTAGTAAAGGTGATGGTCTCACTTATACAAGAAAAGTTAGACGACAAACAAAATTGGTGCAAGTTAACAAATCTGGTTACACCTCAAGATGTGTGAGAGAATAAAAATATTGGAGAGCCCGAGGGAAGAAGTGAGGAAAAGGACTAAAGGAGTAAGAAGAGACCATGATAACCGTTGGATTAAAACCGAACGGTGGATGTTGAAAAAGGAATTCACGGACAGAGATTGAGTGATACGGAGATGAGTTGAGTTTGGTCGTGAGGTGAGAAATAGAGATCTCTATAGTTGGTGGGCCCCCATCAGCTCATTTGCCAAAAACCACATTTTCTATAAATTTATTTCTTATTTTAAAAGATTTTCTCTAAACTATTTTCTTGTTTTTTCGTTTCTCAAAGAAAATAAAAAATACCTTTCAATTATATATGGACATATTTTAAGGTACCCCAAAAATACAAAATTCTTCAAAGGTTTGACAATGTTTACAAATGTATGTATTTATTCCATCTTTTATTAAGGATTATTTATATATTGTTTACATTGACTAATCATTACACATAACACATGGCACGTCAAGCCCTAGTTTTATTCGAAATACAAAAGACTCTCTAACTTTTCAGTATCTATCTATGACAATGTATATATGTATGTATTTGCAGTGTGGCTATGAATCTTAGTATATATAATTCCGCAAAAGAAAAAAATAAGGAAGTGAAAAGAAAAATGTCAAATGTTTTGTTTGAAGTTGAAGTAAACTGAAGGAACCTCAGTGTTCACCAACTGGTCAAGGTCCCAAATTCCCAATATTCTTCCAGTCTCACACTCTCAGGTACGTTTCCAGCTCCATTAGTGTTCAAGTCCTCTAAGTGGTTATTAATATCTGCCTTGTACCAGTCACCTTCTTCACATTCCAGAGGTGGGAAGTAGAGTTCGCCTTGTATCCCTGTGTTTACTCCACATAAACCATCTGCATAAGGGGTAAAATCGTCATTAAATGGGTGGCTGATCAGGTGTGTCGGCGCTGGGAATGGATTGTTGTTGTTTGGCATGTTGGTGAAAGAGGGGTTGACGAATCCTTGTTCTTGTAAGGACATGAAGCTTCCTATGATGTCTTTTAGCTCCAAAGAAGAAGAGGAATTAGAAGACGAGTCACTTGCGTTGGGTGATGAGGATGAGTTGTTGACAAGGAGGTTGGATGTATCAGACATTTTCTTTAGCCTTTTCTTTATTGCTGAGTTCCAAAAGTTCTTGATCTCGTTGTCGGTCCGACCAGGCAATCGTGCTGCAATCTGAGACCACCTATTAAATCGATGAAGAAGAAAGAGGGTAGACTAGTTTAATGAGTCGACGTTGTTATGTAAAATTGATACAAGTGCATTATTTGCATGGGAATTAGAGCGATAATAAACATTATTTAACGTTGTCGGGAAAGTCTCTTAGCGGAAAAATCTTTTAGCTTTTAACTAAAAACGTTAAAAGACATCCATAACCATAGTTTACGCAAAAGTACGTGAAAGCAAAGTACTGCAATTACCAGAAAGTTTACCCAATAACTATAGTTTTAGGCACTTTACATTATGTGATTTCACGTAAGTTTCGACACAAAAATATGTAATTTTATTTTATTAAATTAACTAGCAGATATTAAAGACAACGCTATACATATATAAGTCTAAAAAGGAAAAATAAACTTGGCTTTAGTTCGTATAAAAAAAGCTGAGAAAACATTTTAAAACGGAGATAAGTAGTATACAATAGAAAATGTATAATTTTTATTTCACGCGAAGTCATGTCCAACGTGAAGTATAAACAAAAATATATATTTCTGTAGGAAGTGACAGAAAATAAAAAAACTTTAAGTGTATATATAGAAAATGAAAGTTGAAGTAAAACCTTAAAGAAGAGAATAAAAGGTGATAAAGACACAAAAGTCGGTTTCACGAAAACAAGTATTTATAAGAAGCACTCGCTTAAGTCTTAACACTCACGATTAACGAACTCTGACCACTCACATAATGACATAATTACACGTGAATGTACTCATTCCTAGTTTGGTTTTTGCGTCTACTTTCTTATGTTACTATAATTATAATTAGGTTAATTTTCTTCACAAACAATCATTCATGTCTTTGAATTTTAACAGTTATCGTAACAGTGAAAATTCGAATCAAACTCTATTTTCATCATGAAAGTTCGATCATACCCTTTTACAATATGTAAATCATGTAATCTCTGTTTCACAATACATGATGTTTCATTTTGATGCACAAATATTAAAAAAAAATAGCTTTCTCTAAAAAGTAATTTTAAAATATAAACTAAAAACTAATTATATAAATAACTGTAAAATCTAATTGATTACACAGTTTTCAATAAATTAAAGAAAATATTTAAGATATCAAAACATTATTTATTTGGAAACAAAAAACATCTTCTAAACCATCATCTATTATGAAACGGATGGAGTTTCGTTTATAGTCATATTCACAATAGAGCAATACACAGAGACTTTATGTTAACTCTCTATGTATTCTCATTTAACCAGTAGAAAAACACACACATATATATATATATAAGATTTAATTTAACAATTTGATCGTTTTAAGGTGAACTTTTGTTCTTGATCAATTGGCTTGGCTTTCTCTGTATATGCGTTTTTTTACTATTTACACATTAACCAAAAAATTACCTAGACAATTTTAAGCAATATTTACCTGAAACATGCTAGTTTGTATATGACAACCTTTCCACTATAGTTAGCTTATTAATTGATAACATCAACAACAACCAAAATGATTGAAAAAATACATACCTGTTGCCAAGAACGGAATGAAAACGAATGATGAGTTCCTCTTCTTGAGGAGAGAAAGCGCCACGCTTGAGGTCAGGACGAAGATAGTTGATCCAACGAAGACGGCAGCTTTTGCCACATCGTTGAAGGCCTGCGTTTTTGGCGACATCACTCCAACATCCTTGCCCATTGCTTATCATATATTGCATCAGCTTTGAGTCTTCCTCTGGAGACCAAAGTCCCTTCTTCATCTTCTTTACTTGATTAGTGGCTGCATTAATTGCTACCTCTGGTTTCCTCATTTTATTTTTTTGAGTTAATTGTTTCTCTTTGTCTTTCTCAAGGCTCGATCGATTTGATGATGTGAACCAGTGAAGTTTGTTTTTATAATAGAAAGAGAGAAAAGAGAGAAGACTTGATGATGGGAGAATGATGATGATGAGGAAAGGGATGGTTGTATGGTTTGCTTACAATTCTAGGAAGACAAACCAATATACCAATTTTCATTTTCTCCCCTTTTAAATATATATATATATATATATATATATATATATATATATATATATATATATATATATATATTCCTTATTTTAAGCATTATTATACATACTATGATCAGGCCCGGCCCTGATAGGAAACATTAGAAATATGAGCTTCTGGCCTTCAAAAATATATATAATTTTGGCCAATTATTGACAAACTATTTCTTTAGTTTAGTGATATCTAGTAAGCAATATGAGCCTAGCAACACGAGTTTGAGCCAAGGTTGGGATATTATTGACCTTTTTTTCTAAAAAAATTTCTAATCCTTTGCAAGTCAGGGCTACTGCTATGATATATTATACGGTGTGTTGAATTGTTTTAAAACATACAAAACGTATATACATTTCTAGTCGACCAATATTGTTTCTGGGGTGCATTAAAATGTACCAACAACATATGTAAATCGTATGACGTTTGTATATAACGAATTTAACCAAGTGAAGAAACGTTAGTTGATCGGTCATGACGAAAACGGTTCTGAGAGCGACCAGAAATGCAAACATCAAAGCCAAAAGGAGAAGTGCTTTTCACTTGTTCTTTTTTTTTTCTTTGTGAATATATAAACCATTTCTAATAGTTTCTTCATTCACAAGGTATATATACAGACATGTCTAATTCGTTAAACTTACGTGTGTATATATAATACTACAATATAACATTAATTTATTTATTCATGAGCATGTCTATTTTCTTTTCAAGGATGTCTTCATTTTCAAGGTAAGCAAATGTTGTGTTATTTCATTATTTATTTACGTATAATAAGCTATTTCGATTGTATATATAATAAGTTGAGGAGTGTCATAACCCTTTTTGTTTTGTTTTATATTAATTAGGCTTAGCCGAATAAGAAGTTTTGCTTCAGCTTCACACAACCACCTCTCTCGCACCAACACGTATATTTGAAGTAATCAAATTATTGTTATGGAGAAAATATCACATTCCCTTCATCCATATATTCTATCTATTTACTGGAATAAACGTGGGTCATGATATTTTTAACTTCTCGATTTACACATAATTCATAGTATTAACATATTTTGCCCACCCATCCAGAAATAAACATAACTTTTAATACAATCATAAATAAAACATCCACATATAAAGTACCTGAGAAGTTATAATATTGAATCTTGAAGATGATTTTTAGTTGAAAGCTTGTGGAAATAGTTGTATTGTTTAAATCTTTCTGATCAAATCCATCTTTGAAGACCTTAATCTACAGCTAAACAGGATTTTGACCCAAAAAAAAAATCTATAGCTAAACAGGATAGCTTGAAATGTGTTTTTAGCTAGAAATTGTATGTTCACAATCATTATTTTTAACAAAACTGTGGTTCTTTTTCAACATTGAGATAAAAATGCTACTTAATTTCTAATATGGAGTCTCTATGGAAATTTGGATAACAGAATCACAATCGTATAACATAACATTTTGGAAATTTAATTTTGCTACAAGAAATTAGATTAACATATTAAATATACTTTTGAAATTTCAGTTTAGTAATTTAACAACAAAAGTTCAAATACACCACTCTTAAAATCTATAAATCTAACTCTATATGCAGACGACTGCTAAGACTAACCCTAAACCGAAGCATTAATTAGTGTAACTCTAACACAGAAAGCACACAAAATAATCGCTTAAAATATAAACAATAGTATATACAATAATGTAAGGTTAGTCACTGTACAAATGTGGGGTCAAGTGTATTACACTCTTTTGAGACTGAAACGGAGACCTTAAGTTTATTTATTTGAAACCTTAATCATGCATAGACAATATGTCATTTTCTTCAATGAAGACAAAGTGGTTACTAACTGAGAAAGCAATTATCACCCATGAGAACAGAGCCCCAAGAAAAGGAAATTAACAAACACTACCATTGAATCAAAGCATTAACTTAAACTTGAATCTTACTTTACAGGGTGATGTATCATGTATCTTAACCTATACTTTTATATTTGTATTATGTATCAATTCATTTTTAAATAATAATAAAATAATTACTATAAAGTATCACTCACTTCAAGGACTATCTTTTTAAGTCTAATTGGTTAATCATTTTGCAGCATATAACAGATAATTTGTGGTGGAGAACTTTTTGTTACACTTGTTCGAGATTAGATTGTCTTTGAAGAAACAAAAACAATGAACTTCACCTATCTGCACCAATTGTAATCTTTAACCTAACCCACCCCGTTCCGTTGGATCGTTATTAGTTCCTTACCTAATCCCTGCCGTCACGTTAGAGTCGCACAGATTAATTAGTGCAACACAGAAAAAACATTTAGCTATTATTTGTTAATAATATAATATCATACATTTATTAGCTGTTAACAGGTAATATATTACAATTATGAAGCTGTTATTTTTGTTTTATTGGACCTCTTACAGTATTTTGCTTTGACTTGACGATGTGTTATATACTTATATTCCTTTTATACCTTTCAAAATAAATAAAGTAAAATTTGTCTTCTCCATCGCCCATCTCCACAGCCTACACTACAGCGGAACCGCTTCGGCCAAACGTATCAGCCAGTCAACACAAAAGGGAGCAGTCATTGAAGTAATAAAACTTCAATTATACACTGTAATTTTCTTCTTCAACATAAAGTACTAAAGCTAATTTGTGTATACTAGCTAGTGAACCAATAAGTTTCTTTTAATGCTTGTTAGTTAATGGGACACCACTAAAGTTCTTGTTAATAGGACGCTGTTGCTTTTATGATCAAGTGTCACGTTGCTCAGCGATAATAAAAGAAAAAGTGAAAACTAGAAAGATTGAACTCCGATCTAGACTCACTTAACGAACTCTTTCTAGAAATTTACTTTTAAATCACTTTTTGAACGTAGTATATTGTACGAGGAAGTGGAATCACCATGACATCATATGATTTCTTCAGTTTTTTTTGTGATTTTGTTTCCTAAAGATATTATAAGAGCATAACATCAGCGCTTTAATTAATTAGAAACTAGAACACTTTCTAGAAAATTACTTCAAAATCAACTTTTTGGTAAGTGAGACTGTTTAAAATTAGGATGTTGAAAAGAAATTAACTTCAGCCCGTTGAACTAAGAAAGATGATAGAGATAATACCAAATGGTAGTTTATTATTGACTATTGATATATTTGATATTTTATTTTTATTTTTATTCTTTGTAGTTAATTTTTTATTATTATTTATATCAAATTTTATCATTTTCATACTTTATAAGTAGATTTGTTTATTTGATTTGGAACAAAAAAATATAATTTTAATATAATTTCTTATAGCTTTTAATAATTTTAATTAATTTTTACAATAATGAGATATTGTGATTCATTTGATTTTATTCAATTTTTATCAATATGTTACAATAATATGACATAGAATAGTGTGATAAGGTGTTGAATTTTATTAAACAAGTTATGATATAATATAAAAATAAAATGTGTGTTGAATTATTAATCACAATGAGGATCATGGAGACGAGATCGTATGAAGATGAGCTGCATCACTAGCCTATGATACTTCTTAAGTCTTACCAAAGATGAATGTAAAGTATTTTAACCTATGATAATTCTTAAAAAGAAAAATCTAAAAGAGAAGCCTAAGAAGAAACACAAGAGACAATCAACTACTACTAATAAAGTTCAAAAAAAAAAAACTATCAGCCAAGAGAATGAGACTCTCTTCAGCCTTATGACTACCTGCAAAGAACCTTACATCTCAAAACCCTATCTTGAACATAAAAACCAGGCATCACCATAACCTTAACCCGCACCGGTCCACATATTGTCCTGTCCCTATCTGCACCAATATCATCCATATAACTTGACTCAAACTCTCTGTTTTCCTCCACCCTCAAGATCCCTAACGCTGGCTTGAACGAGAAGGCAAGCAAATGAAGCAACCATACACATTTCGCAGCGACAAAGAACGCTTGTAGCATTTGTTCAGACCAAGGTCTTGTCCACTTCAACATCGTAATGATCAAACTCATCTTCTCATCGCAGAATCTACTGAACTCTTCGCTGTAGTATTTTGTACCCTTTTTCAATACCTCGTTCCAGCTCAAGTTTCTCAGAGAAGCAAACGACGAAAATTTCGCTTTTCGATCTTGTTCAGGATCAAGAAACTTCGGTTTACCGTTCTTTTGGAATACACAGTTCTCAAAATCTTGGTATATAGATTGGCTTATGATTGCTTCTAAGTGGTACTGAAAGGTTTTGGAGTACTTAGAGGTGGATGATAAGTTGTGTGGTTGAAGGAGAGTGTTGATGTTACTAATCAGAGTCGTGTCTTCTTCTTCGTCTATCTCTGTAACTAATGTTTTCAAGAAGTGGTTTATTGATAATCTTGATTCGGATACAATCTGCAAGAACCCTTCAACCATCACATCTTCACTCATTGACATCTCTGAGTTCTTCTCTCGTGACACTAAAGCTTTCTTTAAACTGTCACAGTAACTTTCCAAGTACTTAAGCTTCTCGTTGAACTCTCTCAGTGAAGATCTCATCTCTGAGACTTGTCTTAACGCAGCGTCTCTGCTTCTCTTTGCTTGCATCAACTCTCTCTTCAACACCTCAGGAACTTCTTCTGATTTCTGGGTTCTACTAGGGGAGTTAAAAATTGAGCTGCTCTTTTGCTTTTTCTTTAACTTGGGAAACAACCAAGAAAACACTCTGTTTCCGAGGTTCCTTGTGTGAGAAGTAACAACAGTGGGATGTGAATCTGTCAAGGGCACAACAAGATTAGAGTTCTTGGTGTTGAAACCTCTTTGTTTGTACTCATTGCAAGAAGAGACCGATCTAGAATGTAACCGTGGGGATCTGAGAGTGTCTTTCTGTGGTTGTAAACTCTTTCTTGAAGTTGAGGTTTTGTAGGAATCAGAGAGATACGTAGGTCTCAAGTCATGATCGTCACTTTCTCCCACCAAACCAACACAAGATTCATCCCAATTCTCAGGTAACGTGAGAGTCTTGTGATGAAATGCAGACATAGGCTCATCTGTATAGCTCTGTTTCAAAACCGAGAGAGAAGTTTAGTAGTGTAAAGTGGAAAAGACAGTAACTTCTGTCCAAAATTCAGAACAGTGTAATGTTCAAAAAAGAAAAAAAAAATCAGAACAGTGTGTCAGCTAAGGACAAAAACAAAACAATATTTCTACCAAACTCATGTCTTCTTTGTTTTGTCTTTAAACTTCACACTTAACAGTGCCTTAAATTATTAAAGGGATTAACCCTATTCTGTAATGTGTATTACTTTTTTTCTGTGTCATTATAGAGCCTAAACCGGGTTAAAGTTGAAAAGCATTTTAAATTATAGAGGCTAAACCGGAATAAACCAATAAATCTTTTGGAGTGATGGACTTTTTTTTTAAAAAGATCTATTAAACTCCAAGAAACTCAAATTCTCATACGTAGTGTAGAAATAAATCAAGATAGAGATAAAGAAAAAGTGATGAAAAACTCATGGAAACTTGAGAAGAAAGAAAAGGAGAAATTACAGGAGTGAAAACAGGATAATCATGAGCAGAGAGGTTGTGGAGATGACGAGAAGCTGCTGGTGAAGCAGCAGAAGATGAAAAAGGGATTCTGACACGGTAAGTAGAGGATGGGCTTAGCTTCTGCATAAGTGCTCTTATTTTCACACCGTTTGCTATGACCTCTTCTTTTTCTCTTCCATTGTTCATTCTTGTTTCAAAAGAAGCCATGGAAGTAGTAAGAAATGAAAGAAAGAGAGACAGAGAGGTTGTGAATGTGATTGTGCAAGAGGGAAAGGGTGTGATGTCTGTATGGGAAAGAGAGAAAATCCAAAGAATGTTCTGTCTCTCTTCTCTTTAAAAGGACTGATACAAAGAGTGCATGTGAAAGGGCAGAGACCAATTTTATTGTTTACTAAAATGCCCCTCATTTTCTTATCTCTATTTTTGTTTCTTTGGTAAACTCCACTCATTTTCTACATGATTGTTGTTTTAACAATCAAAAACAAAAATCTTGTTCATTTTTGAAACAACTATTCCCTTAAATTTTATTTTGGATAGATAGTTAAAATATTATTGGACATAAATTGCTTTATATATTTTCATCCAGCCTTCATATAAGAAGGAAAAGAAACTAGAGAATATCACAGCAATTCTTATAATTACTTATGCATATAATTTATTATCAAACCTTAAAATTAATGAATAGAAACACATAACTAAACAAAATGCAAATTATTCAAAATTATTATATAGTAACCCAAAACTAAAAAAAAAAAGTTAAATAATACAAAATTTAATATGATTAGATACTTGAAATTCTGCACATATAAAAAGAAACATAGTTTAAAATTAATTTTAGTAAAGGAATGTCTTGATAAATGTTTAAAATATCTTTCAAGACTAAAACACTAGTCACTAGAAAATATGTTAAGGATCTCATGCAATGTAACTTCGGTTTCTATTTCAGTCAGCACTTTGATAATATAAGTAATGAAATCAAAATTTTCATGTTTCTTACATGTATCATCATATTTTCTCCAGTAGTCTAATTGGCTATAAACTTATCATAATGTGTCATAACCTAAATTTAAATGTGGGAGTGGGCGCATATGAAGTGTGTATGTTGGTTACTAATAATTCAGACAATTTGAAAACTTGTAGAATGATCAGATGCATAGCACTCGCAAAAGATGTTTACTCGGCTGATGCTCGGTCTAGAAAAAGGGTATAGACTACAAAACAAAATAGGTCATTCCCAAGTTAAAAGCTACCACGACTTTCTGGCCAAATCAGATTTGTAAATAATATAGATTTCCGTGTGGGACTCTGATCATTTGGTATTGTTTTGCAATAATGGTGTAAAGTGGAGTTGTTTACATCAGTGAGGAAACAAGTCAAGACATTAGGAGAAAAGTAGTATTAAACTACTAATGATGACAAAATCATTGTTAAGTGGTTAGTTCAACTACTACTAACGAGAACACAGTTCAACTTATGAAAATAGTAGAGCTTAACCAAAATCAAATCTCCCTAAACCATCTACCAATACTAAAACGTTTTTTGAATGATAACACTCAAATACTTCAAGCTGTTGTAAATGGAATTTGAGTCTTTACTTCAACTAATATCTTTTTGTATAATAAGGTGTTTGCTTTTTCAGAGTTCTCACCCTAATTCAAATCAGGTAACGATCACAACAGAAACGCACTAACGGCTAGATATCATGTTTTATCTAGTGATTGAACATAAACTCTGATGTCATAGTCTTTTGGAGAAATCATTTTGAAACTTAGAGAACTCAATTCAAAAAGTCAGTTTTTAGAGTTGTTGATATTCATCATGAAAATATAGTGACGGAATATATCATACTTTTAGCTACAAATTTAACCTTTTTTTTTTTTTTTTTACTCTCAGAAATGGCAAATAATACTTACTGGTAGGACAAATTTTACTAAACCCATCTCTTATGTGAACCAGAGGAAGCTCTTGGGGCAACAACTTGAATTGGCCTTCTCGGTTTCTTTGAATCACCAGCAGAAGAAGCCCCTCGGATCCTTGAAGAAGAAGAAGAAGCTGAAACAGGCTTCCGAGTAGTAGTCAATGGACTAACTACTGAAGGCAGCTTCACAGATTTCACAAGTGAGGACATGGATTTAGCTGGCGCTGATTTATATGTGGTTTGTACTCGTTCCTCCTTGATGGAATCAACTGAAGTATCCTCCAACAAAGTTCGTCGAGGTGTGTTAGCAGGAGTTTCTGAATCAGAAGATGAAGAAGCTGAAGAAACGTCCATATCATAAAGAAGATTGTCCACTCTCATTGTGAATTCACGGGTGCTTGGGATTGCAGCTGAATAAGAGGAGCTCTGGAGCCTAGTGAGCTGTGTGACCTACACGTTTTAACAACGGTTATATCTCAAATGCTGAAGTTGTTACTAGGAATTAAACTTAAGTAGTAAAGTTTCTCACCTTTTCTTCTAAAACCAGTACGTCCCTCTTTAGCTTCTTGATAATTGTTTTCTTCCTTCGAACCATCTCTTCAAGCTCTGTTTCTCGCTGTTATAGAGAGAATACATAAATGTTTGTCCAAATTATAAGGAGAAAAAAAAAATCAAAAGTTAAGGCTTATTGAACAGTCAAAGTTAAGCAAAAATCAACAATTAGGACACATTGAACAAAATTAAGTCTTTTACTTTGGAACAAGCTTTGTTGGTTAACTGAAGAAATGAAGTTAAGTCCTTTATGGTTGCATCTTTCTCTTGACACTCCTTTCTGAGAGAAAGCATGTCTTGGTCTAGTGAAAGATTATCAAACTGCAATAAACATTTAAAAAAAAAACAAATGATCTTCATTTGCAACAAGATCAACAACAAAGATTGTCTTCAGTATAAATTACATGGATTTCTGCAGCAGAAGTGACACTAGAACACCAATCTGACAAGTAAGACAAACGCCTTTCTTCTTGCTCTGTGGTGTCAACCACCAGCTTTGTGGAAGCTTTATCCTAAACAACAAAACCAATAATCTCAATTCTGTCATCATACACAGATAACTCCATGTAAAAGCAAGAGAGAACACACACACCTGTATAGCAGATGAGGAGTGATGATGCTGATCACATAGCCAACAACCACAATCTACAAATCTAACATTCTCAGATCCAAACTTTTCCCTAAACTTTGCTTCATTATCATCATCCTTGACAAGACTTACCTGCTGACACAGATCGTCAAGCTTCTGTTGCATGCCTGTAAGAACCTGGTCCTGAAACAAACCCATTAACCAAAAAACATTAAATTAAAGCATAACTGAACAAAAAAAAAAAACATAAACTAATTAAACAATTAAAGCTTATGTTTTTTATAATAAAGGAGCGAACTTTAACGAACCCTAAGATCAACAGATTCCTGAAGCTGCCGAATCACACCGTTCTTCTTCGACTCAGCGGCGGCGGCGGCGATAACCGCCACAAGCAGAAACCTTTGGTAAGGGGTAAAGAGCTGCCACGCTAGGGTTTCATCTCGGCTCAATCCGCCGATCGAGCTGGACTCATCGAGCAAACCACTGAGAGAGATGTAACGAGACGATCGCAGTGGCTGGGGACGAGGAGTGAAGTGGGATGAGAGGAGGAGACGAGGCGGAGAGAGAGAGGAGAAAGGTGAGAGGTGGACTGAAGCGGGCGGAATTGGGTAGGATCCGGGATCCGAACCGGTTTCATCCATTGGATCGGAGGAGGAGTAATCGAAGTTACAGAGAGAGAGTTTTGTCTTTAAAAGATTTTTGAGTTTTTTGGATTTTTGTGTGTGATTTTCAAAATTGAGATTTCCCTCCGATTTGGGGGTTAGGGAAGGAGAAGAGGTTTGAAGGTTAACGTTGGTGTGGTCACGGTCACCATCATCATCATCTGGGTCTACCTACACATGTAATTGTGTTTTTGGGTATGAATATTATGATTTTTAAGAGTTTAACATTAATGGTGAAAGACTATTTGAAGTACCTAATAGTGTAGATTCTGATATTAATAGTTCAGTTTAAGTTAAGTAAATAATTTTATTTTTAAATGATTTTAGAGTTTTAGGTGATTGTAGAATAACAAAGGTGGTAAGATTTTTAACAAGCTTTTGAAAGTATTTATGATAAAAATAGTATTTATGTCTTTTTAATATTTTTTGTTTTGTTTTGTTAGTCTATAAATTGATAAAAATAGTATTTATGATAAAAATAGTTTTTTTGTTTTGTTTTAATATTTTTTAATAGTATTGTAATGTTTATGGACTCATTGGAAGACTATAAATTGATGATATAAATTATTATTTTAAATATTCATAATGGAAATAGTCTATTTGTTTTAGTCCGTTAAATTATATTATTTTAGTGTCACTCGATGCATTTTTAGTTTTATCTTTTTTATTTATTTAGAAAAATTGCATCAAATATTCAGTTAAAACATAATTTTTTTAATATTTAAACACTAATTATCTAAATGATTAGGTATGGATAAAAAAGGTTAATGATCCAAAAGAACCAGATATCATCACAGATGTCTCCATAAATTTGATATTCGTTAGTATCTCCGTGTCCACTGTCCACCCTAATTATTTGATGCCCTTAAATTAATTTTCTTGGTAAAAATGTAGACTACCGAGGTTTGACTTTATTCAAAAGCAATCTTTGTATTTGTCTTTGAGCAAAATGTGATGGTTGAAAACAAAAAATTGATGGTTCGACTGGAACTTTAATTGTAGCTGAAAACTACTCACTACAAGTCTACATCTTTCCGGCTCTCTTGCTGATCAGACACCACCTATATCTCACCTTATAAAATGATTCATGATGGAGTTATGGAGAAATGTATTATCTTATCTTCGTGTTCTCTCTTAATGATGTGCAAATGATTCATTGGACTCATACTATACTTCTCTTAATTTAGACCAGTGGCAATGACAGAACGAGAACATGATCAAATTTTATTTCATTTTTCTTAACTGATGACTGTGTGTCAGAAAGTGGCAATGTGGCAAGGTTTCAAAGGCACAACTTCTAGTTTAATACTAGTTGTTTTGAGTTATCTAATATAGAAGTGCATGTGAGTTGTTGACAGCGACGTGTTTGATCTTGATTTGATCTTCTTCTAAAAACGCATCTAACATTGTAAGACTAGAATCAGCCAGAAGATATTGTAAGACTAGAAATCAGCCAGAAGATAGATGTGTATAAATAAAGAAAATTCATTCACTAGCTAAAATTAAAATACAACGAGAAAACAAGTCAATCTTTCAGATTGATCTATTGAACATCAAATTTACGCCTAATAATAAGCGTTTTATTTTATGCAATTTAGCTAGCAGAAAAAAAACATTTTCAAAACATTTCTGAAGCATATTTTATTACACGTGACGTCATAACTCTTAAGTGATATCCTCTCCAGTTATTTAGGAACGTGCTATGTCCTACTTTCCTAGTCCTTGGGACACCAAAGCACCAATTGCTTTTAATTTTCCTCGTTTCTTTCTTCATTTTCTGAAACCCGAAGTATAGAATATTAGTATGACTATGAGCATAGAAGTAAATGAAGATAGGATAGGAGGGTGATGAAGAAGAAGCACATGCGGGCACATGAGTTATGTCTCGACTAACGTTGAAGCCATTAATGTCTTCATCCTGGCTTATCTCACTTCCTTCTAAATCCTATAAACAATTAATTAGACAACTGCCAAATCTCTGTATCACGTTTACTAGCTGTCTCTAAACCTCTCTTATTTTCAGGGCCAACAATGAATTTTAGGAAACCTAGCTCAAGGAAAATATAAAATAATTTAGAGAAAGTTAGCTTTTACGTATAAAACGTTAAGGGGAAAACCAATCAAACGTAAATTATTGTTGGACTCTTGTGAGAGTCTACTATTGTTTGTGAAGATGTGACCAGCGTGGAGGCGAGTTGTAAGAGTGATTAGGGTCTAGTGTCATAGTTGTAGAAAAATAACTAAATGTTAAAATTAAAAATTATTTGTTTTATAAGTATACCATTGACTCATTGTTGAAGAAGATGTCGAATAAATATAGAATTATAGATCATTACATGGGTTTGGTATTGTATGCTAATTATATGTTAACAAGGACAAAGATCACATGCTCATCTACAACGTTTAAGATCTGACAAAATATTACAAAATAGAAACTAGTAGTAACTGTAGTTGCTATTCTTACCAATTAAGAAGTGCCAGTCTTGTGGAAAGTATGGGCATGAGACATTTGCTTGCCCAAACCGATCATCCAGAGGTGCTAATGATACTCAAGTAAATATTGGAAGAGAATCAAGGCCTGTTCGATCTCGCAGTCGTGGTCCCAAAATAAATTCTTCATCTCGTCCGGGGCGTTCTCTGAACACAAGGAGGGTAGAGAATGTCGTATACAGAGTTAAGGAGCCTAAGCAGAGCTTGAGTACTAAAGAGGAAAATGGACCTACACCCCCATTCGAGGCTAACGCTTCGCCAGGGGTCCCGATTGTGGATGTTGAGAAGGAGAACCCCCCCGGAGCAGACAAGGGTGATATTGCTGATTACTCTGGGCCGAGTGCAGAGCCAGTCCAAGAAACACCTCTTACACAAGAACATCAACCTCCACTGTCTTTTCAATCTATCTCTCTTGATAGGCAGTTGGGACAAACTTCTGTAGTGGTTTTCCATGAGGATATCCGTGGAGCTCCTGCTGCTCACTCTGATCAGCAAGAAGGCTCGAGTTTACCTTTCTTCCTTGTTAACAACAGGAAGAGTAGCCGAAAGGCTACAAAAGTCTAATCATTTTATCATCATGTTTTTTGCGTGGAATGTTAGAGGACTAAACAATGAAAGACGCCACACTATGGTCAAAGAGTGGATTAGAGACCACAGACCTCTTTTTGGAGCATATCTAGAAACTCATATACAACCTTCAAATTCTAGACGGATCGTTTCAGCCATTCCTCGGGATTGGCAGTTTTTCGATAATTCGGGTCATCATCCTACAGCTCGTATTGTTGTGGTTTGGGATCCCAGTATCACGATTACTATATATCAAGCATCGGCCCAGGCTATTACTTGTGGAGTTTTTATCTTATCGGAGAAAAGGAATTTTACAGTCACGTTCGTTTATGGGTTCAACCAAGTTGAGCAGAGAACTTCTATATGGGAAGAGCTAGTCAATATTAATGCAACAACCCCAGTCTCAAGAAGTCCATGGATGGTCGTTGGCGATTTTAATCAAAGCCTACGGGAGAGTGATCATTCTAATTATCTTACCCATGAGATAGACACTGCGGGAATGGATGAGGCAGTACTAGCTATACAACAAGCGGATCTATTTGAAGATAGATCAAAGGGTCCCCCTTTTACTTGGAGAAATTGTCAGGATGACAATCCTATATCCAAGAAAATTGATCATGTTCTGATTAATGAGCAGTGGGCAGTACAATTTCCAGACTCTTTTAGCGAGTTTCTCGATCCTCTTCAGTCTGATCATGCCCCTTGTCTGATCCGCATGCCCTCTCTTCAAAGGAGAGTGGTCAAACCGTTTAAATTCTTTCATCATGTTATTGACCACCCGAGCTTTCTGCAGGCTGTTAAGGATGCTTGGAACTGTGATGCAATTCAAGGAACGCTTCAGTTCAAGATCGTCAGATCCTTCAAGTTTCTGAAACCAGTTCTGAGGAATCTGAACAAGACTCACTTCAGTGGAATAACAAAAAGGGTTAAAGCTCAGGAAGCAAATTTAACAGTCCTTCAGCGGCAGCTTTTGACAAATCCTGATCCAATCACTGCTCGCCTTGAGCATGAGGAGAGGAAAAAGTGGTTAATTCTAAAAAAGGCTGAGGAGAAATTTTACCGTCAAAAGTCTCGTGTGAAGTGGAATTGTCTTGGAGATAGAGATACATCCTTCTATCACAAATCTACCATTCACAGGAATTCTAGGAATCACATTCATTATCTGAGAGATGGGAATGAAACTAAGCTAACTTCCTCTGAGGACCTCAAAACGCATTCTGCTGAATATTTTGAAGGTATTCTAGGCTCTTCTCACGCATCCTCCTCCTCTGTGTCAGTTATGGAAATATAGAGTTTGCTTCCCTTTCGCTGTAGTAAAGATCAGTGCAGAGATTTGCAAAAGGAGGTGACCACAGAGGAAATTACTTCTACTATCTTTTCTATGCCTTTGGATAAAAGTCCGGGACCGGATGGGTATTCTGTGGAGTTTATTAAAGCAACTTGGTTTATTGTTGGTGAGGATATTGTTGCTGCGGTTAAGGAATTTTTCAGGAATGGCAGATTACTAAAGGACTTCAACAACACAATCATAGCCTTGATTCCTAAAGTACCTGAAGCGTGTAGACTGGGAGAATTTAGACCAATCAGCTGCTGTAATTTGATGTATAAGATCATCACAAAGATAATAGCAAAGAGACTTAAGCCGGTTCTACTTCAATGCATCAGCCCTAAGCAAGCTGCCTTCCTTAAAGGTAGAAGTCTGGGAGAGAATGTATTGCTATCATCTGAGCTTGTCCGTGAATATCAGAAGTCATCATGTCTGAGAAGCTCAATGCTAAAGGTTGATATCCGGAAAGCTTTTGACACAGTTACCTGGGATTTTATCCTCAAGGTGTTAGAAGCGCAGGGATTTCCTCCCCTTTTTAGAGCGTGGATTCAGGAATGCATAAGTACACCTCGCTTCTCTGTTGCTATCAATGGAGAACTAGCTGGGTTCTTTGGAGGGAAGAAGGGTCTAAGGCAAGGGGACTCAATCTCTGCTTATCTCTTTATTATGGCTATGGAGGTCCTATCCAAGCTTTTGGAGACTGCCTCTGTGGAGAATCAATTCTGGTTGCATCCTAAATGTTCAGAACCAAGACTTACACATCTTCTCTTCGTAGACGACTTGTTGGTTTTCTCAGATGGATCGAGGCACTCTTTAACTGGTATTACTTCCGTTCTTCATGAATTCAAGTTAATGAGTGGCCTAGAGATGAACGAAGGCAAGTCGGAGTTGTTCTTTGGGGGCTACAATGAGATTGAGCAGGCTGAACTGAGTGGTTTAGCGGGTATCAAGATTGGGTCTTTTCCAACGAGGTATCTTGGCCTTCCGTTAAATCCTAAAAGAATTAACATGGCAACTCTGCAACCTTTTCTGGAAAAAATCACGAGTAAGCTCCACTGCTGGACTGTAAAGACACTGTCTTATGCAGGGAAAATAAGATTGATTGCATCAGAGATTTATGGAATGGTCAACTTCTGGAGCTCTGTTTTTAACTTGCCAAAAACATTCTATGCTCAGGTTGATTCGATATGCGCTGCCTTTCTTTGGAATAACAATACAACCTCAGCCTCGGGTGCTAGGGTCGCCTGGAAAGATATATGTAAACCGAAGGAAGAGGGAGGTCTGGGTATCCGTTTATTGGAGGAATTTCAGCTGGTTTTTGGACTTAAACGTCTATGGAACTTCTTTTCTAACTCTGGAAGTTTGTGGGTGGCTTGGCTCAGGAATCATGTATTTAAGAGGAAGAGTTATTGGCTCACTGCTGATTCTCCTCGCTTCTCTGCCACTGTTCGCAACATGCTTCAGTTAAAGGAATTTCTTCCTAATTTTTTAAGATGTAATGTCTTGGATGGGCAGAACGGTTCTTTCTGGTTTGACTATTGGACTGAACTAGGACCTTTGATATCGGTTGTTGGTGAACAGGGCCCTAGAGCATTACGCGTTAGGATGGACCCTCGCATTATTGATGCCACCAGAGACGGCTCATGGCGCATGCCGCCTGCTAGAACTCAAGAGATGGTTGCTCTACAAGCTGCTGTTTCTGCAGTCTCACCTCCGGATCCATCTAAGGGGAGTGATAGTTTCAGTTGGCTTCAAGCTAATGGGTCTTACGGAACTTCTTTCTCCTCTAAGGTTACTTGGGATCATATTCGTGCTGTGTCTCCAGTAGTTTCATGGCACAAAGTCATCTGGTTTAAAGAGAACATTCCGAGGAGCACTTTTATAACATGGCTTGCCCTTCTTAGAAGACTTCCTACAAAAGATAGACTGCGTCGATGGGGGTTAAATGTCTCTGCTGCTTGTCTTCTTTGTGACAATGGGATAGAAACTCACCACCATCTCTTTTTCGAGTGTCGGTATTCTTCGGCTGTATGGCAGTCATTTGCAGGATCAGTTTTGCCTAACCCCCCCTCTGATCTTCATTCCGCTGCAGCTTGGACTCTTCATGGAGCTAGGCAAGGTCAACCGCAAGTCATCGCTCTGCTCAAGCTCTATCTGCAATCATCAATATTTCTCTTATGGCGAGAGAGAAATGCAAGGATATTTACCTCTACGGCATCACCCCCTGAAGTTTTATGTGTCTCACTGGATCGTCTTATTCGAGACCGTCTTCTCTCCATTCCGGTAAGATCTGCCTCCGCTAGCTCTCTTTTGCAATTCTACTTCTCTTGTACTAGGCCTCCTTGAGAGGTTTGTTTTGGAAGGTTGTTTTGGTTTCTAGTTGCTGTAATAAGTTGCTTTTGCAACATTGTAAAGAAAAAACCTAAAAAAGGTATAAATTTTAACATTTTACGAAAAAAAAAAAAAAGAAGTACATCAGTCTGTTCAGAATAAAATAAACTAGGATAATATTAACTGCTGTTGCTATGCCACTTGAATGTTGTCTTCATTACCAGGTCCAAAATGTCAGATGCAAATAAAATCAAAACTAAATCAGTTAATTGACTATGACTATCTTCCTATAGTGTAGAATGGGACAGCAATAAACCTTTGTGGCTTGGTCACATTTATACTGTTGTATAATGTGAGTCTCGACGTTAAACAATCTCTTGGCACATCGAAAATATAAAATCTTATCTTTTCCTCACACCACACAACATTGTTTTATAAACCGCATATGGATACCGATAATTTAGTGGTAGGAAAATTCTGATGAGCTAATCGATCCAAGTTTGAAACAACTACTAAACATGTGTGGCCGGACTATATGAATATCTAATTCTCATTGCGAACAATCAAGTTTAACGGTAGCCGAATCCAAACTTTTAAGAGAGTCAAATTTAAAACTAATATAGAATCACACATCTTACCTTTTAGTAAAAATACATGTAAATTTCTTCAACTAAAAAAATTCCCACATGGATCATTCAATTACCCTCCTAACTAGCTTTCTTCGGCCTTCCGCCACTGATCGAGTCTATCTGGTATTCTGGACAGACCCCTAGAGAACTAGTCGGTTAGGTCTTAACCCATCAATCACACCCGGTTATAAAAAACACTGTTTTATTTTCATCGAAAACAACCATATATACATGTTGAATGTTTATTAGAAAAATTAACCCATCTACGTCCATCTTCTAACTATTTCTATTGGTTAGTACATCCAGGCGACATATACAAACAAAACCATGTTATTACTTATCACTAGTAATTAGGGCTGGGCAAAAAAAACCGAACCCGAAAATCCGAACCGAATCCGACCCAATAAAAAGGAATCCGAACCGATCCGAACCCGACATAAGTACCGAATGGATCTTGTTTTACGGTATTTCGGGTTATGGGTATTACCCGAACCGAACCCGAACTTAAATGGATATCCGAAAAAACCCGAAACTTTAAAATTCCAAAAAACTTGTAGCATATCCAATCTAAATTTCTTATGTTTCCAAAACAAATTAATATATTATTGAGTACCTACAATAATTAGTTATGATATAAATAATTAACTCAGATATTTAGTCTAACATATAATGTTATTTGGTTAATATTAATGTTTATGATTGACATTACATTTGAAATTAAGTTACAAATAAATTTGTTTTGAAGTTTATATAATGTTGTTTTTTAAAGTTTAAATAGTACTTATTACATTTATAGAATTGTTAGTTGTTAACTTTAATTTTTTTATGTTTCATTAAGTATTATATTTTATTCATACAAGGCTTTGGTTTGTCATTAATCATGATATGTTTAGTGTTGTCACATATAGTTCAATGGCAAATATTATATGGTTGATAGATGAGTTTCACAATATTATTTTGAAAGAGAACAATATGGTTTGTAGAAGCTAAATACATAAATTTAATAAAACGATTGAAAATATAGTGAGTTTAATTGAGTATAAATTAGTATTTTTAGAACCGATAACCCGATTAGTATCCGAAACCGAAACTATTTTGGGTTCAACCGGATCTTGGACATGTTACTAAACCCTAACCGAACCCGATAAAACCCGAACCGAATCCGACCCGAATTTTTATAATATCTGAATGGGACTGAAATTCATGAACCCGAAAACCCGAAACCCGAATGAACCCGAACCGAAACCCGATTGGGACCCCGATTGCCCAGCCCTACTAGTAATGATCCCACTAATGACCCAAAAATAATTATATTAGAAACCGAGAAAACTGAAAAAGAAGCGTGCACACACTGTGACGTGGCAGTAAATGAGAAGGTTCAACGAAGCATTGTGCTTCAATAACGAGTATAAATACAACACCATAGAAGTTAAGTCGTTTTACATGTCAAACCTTAACGTAAAGCTCAAAAACACATAACACCAAGATCCTTGGAGACTAAAAACAAAACATATGGATGCCAAGAAGGTGACAACGATCGTGTTTTGCAACGTCGTCGTTTTGCTCCTCGCCACGGTGGTCCAATCTTGTCCACCTTCCGACCGAGCAGCTCTTCTCGAGTTCCGATCAAACCTCAACGAGCCCTACATCGGCGTATTCAACTCATGGAGAGGCCAAGACTGCTGCAACGACTGGTACGGCGTGAGCTGCGATCCCAACAGCCACCGCGTCTCCGCCATCACCCTCCGCGGAATCTCCGAGGAGCCTCTCTTCCAGCGCGCCAAACGGAAAGGCGTCATGACCGGCTCCATCTCCCCGGCGATCTGCGACCTCACTCAACTCTCCGGCCTCACCCTCTCCGACTGGGAAGGAATCTCCGGCGCGATCCCCACCTGCATCACCAACCTCCTCGCCATGCGTCACCTAGATCTCGTCGGAAACAAAATCTCCGGCGTGATTCCGGCGAACATCGGAAACTTATCGAAGCTGACGGTGCTGAGCCTCGCCGATAATCAAATCTCCGGCGAGATTCCGCCGTCGATCACGAGGCTGACGAGCTTATCGCATCTCGATCTGAGGAGCAACGGCGTGACGGGAGTGATACCGGGAGACATCGGGCGGTTGAAGATGCTGAGCCGCGTTTTACTGAGCGGTAACAAACTCTCGGGTCGGATACCCGAGTCTCTGACCCGGATCTACCGGCTCGCGGATCTCGAGCTCTCGATGAACAGGATCACGGGGCCTATACCTGCCTCGTTCGGGAGGATGTCGGTGTTGGCGACGCTTAATCTCGGCGGGAACTTGATATCCGGAGAGGTTCCGGGGAGTTTGATGAGTTCTTCGATTTCGAATTTGAATTTGAGCGGGAACCTTGTTGAAGGGAATATACCGGACACGTTTGGGCTGAGGTCGTATTTCACGGTGTTGGATCTTTCGAATAACCGTTTGGAGGGAGGGATTCCGGAGAGTATGGAGACGGCGTCGTTTATTGGGCATTTGGACGTGAGTCATAATCAACTGTGTGGGAAGATTCCGGCGGGAGAGCCGTTTGATCGTCTTGACGCGACGTCGTTTGGGTATAATAAGTGTTTGTGTGGGACGCCTCTTGGGGACTGTAAGAAATGATTAAGAATGTTTTTGGGGAAATCAAAGATTAATGCAGTTATTATGAATGTATGTGATGTAACTACTAGCCGTTTGGTGTTTACTTTAGTCTTGTTCCTCTCTTATCTGATTTGATTCTCGAGCCCTCATCAATGAGAGCTAGAAGATAAACTTATAAATATAAAAATGTTCATTGGTTGTTTAAATACTTGGACCCGACCACGTTAGTGAGATTGGTAAATTCACGATACAGCAACCAATGATTTGGTCTGAATATGCTGTAGAAAGTCAAGATTGTATGACCATTTTGAACTAGACACTTGACAAAGGAACCGTATATGTGAGTCCTTCTAATGGGTTTATGGGCTTTTTAACATGGAAAGGTCATTCTTACCACGAAATTTGTTTAGTGGGCTTGGGTCCAATGTCAGTTGTGTATGGGTCGTATTTTGGACGTGCTACAAATATATTTTTCAGTCATACGGGATACAATACATAAAAGATATTGACGCTAGTCGCTAGCTGTGGTTAGTCAAATCACAAAACCATGAAAAAATATTTAACCCTTCAGATTAGTAATATGTACTGTATAATGAAGTATCATCTGTTCGCGAGATTAATCATATTATACATCAGTTACTTCATGATCATTAGAAAATGTTTTTCTCATAATCATAGGGTTAGAGCTTAGAAGAGATTGCAACACTTCCTCACATCAAAATTGAGGATGGCGTTGTGTTTCGCCTCTGAAGGACGAACTTGTGACGAATTTTCTACATGTCTCACCTACAAAAAAATGATCTGATGGTTAACAGTAATTAATGCATATCTTTGATCCGTCGCTGCACTAGCAATTGATATTTACGTAAACAATCAAAGTTTCTGATCAATGACTCTAAAAACCAACACAAAATCATCATATTCTTATAGACACAATTATGTTACATAAGTTTTTAATCTATAAATATAAGTGAGTGCCCGATAGAGATTATTATAAGTTCACAACTATTTAGTAGTCATGAGCTTTGTAGAAGAACAAAAAAGTTACGACACAAAGAACATATGAATAACGTGCGGGAGAGAATTGCACAACACGTATTTGATGCTTTTAAGTTACTTGAGTATATATAGACACCGTACATGGGAGACTTTCATCACAAGTATGTGATGCAAAGTATGCTTTGAAGCATCATATATCAATTAAAGTATTTATGGTTAGTTCTGTTCTTTTAAACTATTTTTTTTAACTTAACTGTCATTACTTGTTGAATTTCCTCAGCCATTTTTCGTTCTTTATCTGCCAAGCAGTCATATTTAAAATCCTAAAGCAAATTATATACTATCCCACCCGAATTCGTTAGTAACTACTCATTCTGTTTTATTTTAATTATCATTTTAGATATGTCTATACAAATTTAAAAGAGATTTAATTTTGCATATTTTCTAAATAAAAACATTATTACCTATAAATCTAAACACATTCAAACCAAAGACAAAATATAATAGAATATTAAGTTAATAAATTTTGCATTGAAATTATAAAATTATACTTATTTTGAAACTATAATTTTACTTTACAACGATAATTAAATTGAAACAAATAGAATATTATTTAGATTCTTATAGTATGTTAAAAAGTAGTTAACAAATATTGCATAGCTACAATACTGTATCCCCGCATCTCAGATCACCCAATCTAAATATTTCCTCACACTGTGAAATGCTATATTCCTCAGAAGCTATAGCATTAATGACTATGTGTAGTCTTACCACGGCAGCCTCTCCACACCTAACTGTAACATTGGGAGATCTAGGCATCTTTAGAAACGGTTTTCAACTATTCTCAAAATCCATTGGTTGGGTTATTCAATGTCGATTTTGACTTTTTTGTGTTCTTTCGAACATTGGTTTTAGGACTATAAATGATGATTTTCTATGGATTTCTTCTCTCCTTAACCACATTTATCTTTCGTTATGGTTTAATTATGTTAGTTTATCATATTACCGTCGAGTATTTCTCCGGTTGTAATTGATTTAGCCCATCAAATGTTTACTTTTAATATAAACATTTGTTGTTCCAGAAAAAAAAAAATTACAATACTGTCGAAGTATGAGCTTCACTGAGATACTGTCGTACTGAAACTACACTGTTGAAATTAAGAAACGTTGCTGAAACTGATACATAGGAGCCAGAATCGAGATTGAACCCAGAGGTATGTGTTATATGATCACCAGATTGTAATAAACATTTAATATGTAAATGATTTACAACATATACCTGATTTTCTTTTCAACAACTCGCAATAATATCTTGGGTGATATTCTTATGCATATAGTAGATATGAAATGTGTACAAGTGGGAAGAAAAAAAAGTAAACTCGTGTATCATTTGCACTACACTCGAAAAAGAGACGTTTGGTTGTTAACTTTGACGTGTAAGATGATGCTCCTTTCTTGAAGCAACAAACTACTAAACGTCATCGTATTATTCATGGATTACCTTAACTTTCAAGAACCCATTTGGCTTTCCCAACAAAGAATCTGATCCAATAAGTTGACGGCAGCGACGATACCTTAACCCTAGATGAAAACCACTAACAAACTGTCGGAATGTCCAAAAGATTTTTGTCCTCAAAATTGACAAATGACGAGTACATCTAACTAACCATCCATCACTCTCCATAACTATACAACAACTCTTTCAGTGTATATCTTTTCATTTATTTTTGTATTGAATACGTTTGTTTAGATCCACATACATACATACTAATAATTGCACGCTAGGTTACATGGATATCGACCTTTCACGATTATAGTAGCACTTAGTCAGTCTAACCCAATGCTATATTTTCTTATAAAATAGATAAACTCTATTATAATGATAAAGATGAAATTCATTCCGATGTGTGTTATTATAACAAAGTTTTCTATTTTTAGAGAAAATTTAGAGATGCTTTATTTTATCTCTATATTTTGAATCGAATTAGCATTTTCTTCTTTTAAAATATAAGAAACCTATTATAAAATAGATATTGGAGTAAAATCATTTATAATAAGTTTTGCTCTATTTCAGAAGAAAATATAGAATTGAGTTGATATAATGCCCCCAAAAGTTCCTTAGTTTTCATGTAAATTGTTATATGTAAAACTCATCAAACATTCATAATTTTATAGTTGACGTTGCAGAGGGAATTTACTCTTTAATTCTTTATGAATTTAATTGGACAAAGAGAATCTTGAAACAAACCACCAGGAATATAGAATTCAATAAAGTATTACACTACCAATTACAAGTTTATATAATTAGGTTGAAAGAGTCTTCGCTTGTGGAAGAAGAAAACCCGTAATACATAATTTCTCCATATACTAAAACAAAGACACTACTACTACTACTACATAAGAACACTATTTCAACCAAAATTAACTATGTGCAATGGACTAGCTAGAGATTCATTTATTGTTTGTATAAGTCTATAGTCGTTATATAGAGGCATTTATGCGATGCATATGTAGTTTTAGGTTGTAACTATTGATACTACTTACTTAAAAAATAATAGATATAAATTCTTATGTCTCTTCAACAACATGCATTAACACAAACCACATGTCTTGTTCTCTTTCTATGAATTTCGTAGTTTGATTATTCTTATGAATATTTTACCTCTGCGCGTCATTTTTACAAAATGAGCTCCTTAGGTAGATTTGTTCTTATCTCTAAGATCAAGATATCTCTTGATGTTGTTCTCTCTCTTTCTATCTACCTATCGCGTTGCTAAAACGTATAAGCAACCTTCACAGATCAGAAGATCTACAAGAGCCATCAAGTTCATAAAATGTAGAGGATCATTAGTTACTTTCATAAGTAATAAAAGTCACACAACAAATAACGTTAGCAAAAAAGACTATTCAGATAAAATAGAAATAGATCACATGTCACTCTATTCCAGTTGTATATATCCAGCTGTGCTCCAATCATTCAAAAAATACTCCGGATGTTAAAAAAAAAGCATATTCTAGAAAAAAATTATATTTCAAAAAGATGTATTCCATCCGTTCCATATTAAGTGTCGTCGTAGAGAAAAATTTCTGTTGCAAAATTTATTATTTTATTATGTAATTGTTTTTGTATTGGTTAAAATGTGGTTATGTGTAAAATTAATTGTGTTTTATATAGAAAATATGCAAAATTAATTGTTCCCTTAATACGTGTGCACAACTCTAGAATGAAATTTATAATAAAACATAAGAAGTATTTTTTAGATTTTTAATGCACTTTTTATCAACTAATAATGAAAAATTGTAAATTTTAAAAACATTAATTACATTTTTTGAAATCTTATTAGTTTAAAAATATGAGAAATATAAAATTACAATAAATTATGTATTAATAACTAAGTTTTAATATTTTTCTTAGTAAATGTGAAAAACTTAAAACATATATTATTTTGAAACAAAGAGAATAATAATTAGTAAAATAGTTTATTTATTTTTGTCAACTGTAAATTAGTTTCATTTTGTCAACCTAGTATATGTTCCTTTACCTAAAAGTCAGCAGTTAAAATAAATTTAAATTATTCCTTAACACCCTATTAAAGTTTGATTAAGTTTAAGAATGTAATTCATCTTTTTAATCCAAGCCAGTAAAACAACATAAGCATAATCTTTTTGTATAAATTTTGACGCCACGTAAGCAAATTAGTTAAAGTATCTTGTTAGTTTACTTTTTCTCTACACTCCACCACCACTATCTTCTTCTCTGCAACCAAAACCTCTTCCCCTCTCTCTATAATCAGCGATTTATTAGGAGAAAAGAAAACATAATTAATCATTAAAAATCGAGAAAATTAATAGTCGTCCATAGATTCGACATGGTGTTACCTTTTGTTCACTAGTGCCATTCTTCATCTCGAGAAAAAAAACAGAGACATCTTTCATCAAAACAGAGTCCTTTCACACAAAAAAAGACAGCGAAAGCGACAAAGCATCCGTGACCTCTTCCTTCTCGATTCTCTTTAACATTATTTTGTTTTTATTTTGTGCAGAACATTGCTTAATCTATCGAAAGTCTTTTACTTTATCACGCTTTTATAAATATCCCCATCTCATTACTCTTTCTCTTCCCAACTATCTCTAACTGTTTTTCATTAAAACAGGTTTAGAATCTTTTTTCATTCTCTTCTTAGAATCTTGAAATTGGGTTTCATTTAAAAATCTTTTCTTTTCTCTGTTTAAGACAAAAACACAAGAGATGATGATGAAGAAGTCTGGTCTCATCGTAACGATGGCGTTACTATACTACACAACCTTTGTTGTTGTTTCTGTAACAGCAAAAGAGTGTACAAACACTCCTACACAGCTCTCATCACACACTTTCCGCAACGAGCTTCTTCAATCAAACAACGAATCTCTCAAGACAGAGATGTTCTCTCATTACCATCTAACACCAACCGATGACTCAGCTTGGTCTAGTTTGTTACCGAGGAAGATGTTGAGAGAAGAGGAAGATGAATACGGTTGGACTCTCATGTACAGGAAGATCAAGAACTCAGATAACAACAACGCATCTGGTAGCTTCCTGAAAGACGTTTCTTTGCACGACGTTAGGCTTGATCCAGACACTTTCCAGTGGAGAGCTCAGCAGACGAATCTTGAGTATCTGTTGATGTTGGATGTTGATGGTTTGAGTTGGAGTTTCCGTAAAGCTGCTGGTCTTGATGCTCGTGGTGATCCTTATGGAGGTTGGGAGAGGCCTGATAGTGAACTCCGTGGCCATTTTGTTGGTATAAATAAAGTTTCCTTCCTTTCTCCAGTTTAAAATCTAGTTTCTTGGTCCATGTTCTTGATAGTATGCAAGTAAGAGATTTTGATGTTTGGTTATTACTATTAGAGTGTATAGATTCTTGAAAAGGATATGACTGTTTGTGTGTGTTTGAAGGTCACTATTTGAGTGCAACAGCATACATGTGGGCAAGTACTCATAACGATACACTCAAGGAGAAGATGTCAGGTTTTGTCTCAGCTTTATCTGCTTGCCAGGAGAAGGTTGGCACTGGGTATCTCTCTGCTTTCCCTTCCAGTTTTTTCGACCGGTTTGAAGCTGTAAAGCCTGTATGGGCTCCATACTACACCATCCACAAGGTGAATACTCATACTCTAACATGCTTGTGAATGTTTTTTTATATAAAAGGTTTCTAACTTTATGTGTAACTTTTGATAGATTTTAGCTGGATTGGTGGATCAGTACAAGTTGGCTGGGAACAGTCAAGCTTTGAAAATGGCTACATGGATGGCTGATTACTTTTATGTACGTGTTCGGAATGTGATAAAGACTTACAGCGTTGAAAGACATTGGTTATCACTAAATGAGGAGACTGGTGGCATGAATGATGTTCTCTATCAGATATACAGCATCACTGTGGGTTTAAAAAAAATCTTATCAGACTCTCCTTAGATATATCTACATCTAGGTTTTGTTTCATTATATCATAGTTTTTTATTGGACTTTTGCAGGGAGATTCCAAGTATTTGCTGCTGGCTCATCTCTTTGACAAGCCTTGCTTTCTTGGGGTGCTTGCAATTCAGGTTAGATTACATGATGATTAACTTGAAAAAGATAGGAATGATAATGTAACAGAACTTTGCTTACTTTATTTTCAGGCTGATGATATAAGTGGATTCCACTCTAACACACATATTCCCATTGTGGTTGGATCCCAACAACGGTATGAGATTACTGGTGATCCTCTCCATAAGGTACTTAAGCATACATAATCCGGAAAAGTGTGAGATTTATTAAAGAAAATATTGTTTTTTTTTCTTGATTCTGAAATCTGCATTTTCCAGGAAATTTCAACGTTCTTTATGGATATAGTCAATGCATCTCACAGCTATGCAACTGGAGGAACATCAGTCGGTGAATTCTGGTAATAGTACTAACATTACCTGACTTTAGAGTTTGATTTTCATTTTGACACTACTTTGGTTTCAACTCTTAACCATGATTTGGAAATGTTAACATTAGGCAAGATCCAAAGCGAATGGCAACTACCCTGCAAACTGAAAATGAAGAATCATGTACTACTTATAACATGCTAAAGGTAACATTTCTAAACTTTTTTTCTTGTTTTGATTCTCACTATATTTAGCTTAAGGTAACATATCAAAAAAACTTAATACAAATTTTCAGGTGTCTAGGAATCTGTTTAGGTGGACAAAAGAAGTTAGTTATGCAGACTATTACGAGCGTGCTTTGACAAACGGTGTGCTTGGGATTCAAAGAGGAACCGAGCCTGGACGGATGATCTACATGCTCCCATTGGGTAAAGGTGTTTCTAAGGCCGTGACTTATCACGGTTGGGGAACACCTTATGATGCCTTCTGGTGTTGTTATGGCACTGGTAGCTTTTTTTAAACTACAACCATCTTGTTTGCTACATGTTACTTAATAAATAGATAAATTTTGAGGGTTTTGTTTTGGTTTCTGTTTCACAGGAATTGAGTCATTCTCAAAACTGGGAGATTCTATATATTTTCAAGAAGATGGAGAATCTCCAGCTCTCTATGTCACACAGTATATATCAAGCTCACTCGACTGGAAGTCTTCTGGTCTTTCTCTATCTCAGACAGTTAAACCCATTGTGTCATGGGACCCGTACATGCGTGTGACATTCACTTTCTCTTCTTCCAAAGCGGTAAGGTTTTTGGCAGAAACCAAGATGCAGCTCTGTTCATGTGAATTATATAGAGTCTGATGGAATGCAATTTTTTCTTGCAGGGAATGGGGAAGGAATCCACTTTGAATCTAAGGATTCCTGTTTGGACAAACTCTGAAAGTGCTAAAGTATCTTTGAATGGACAATCACTGAAAGTACCAGCTTCAGGTGAATTGAGCATTCTCTAGTGTAACCTTTATATATTTTAAGAACAGAACCAGCTTCAGGTGCTCCTTTGTTTCTGTTTATAGTCTCTAGAATGTGAAATTGGACCTGCCTTTTGCTTTGCAGGTAATTTTCTACCAATCAAACAGAACTGGAAATCAGGAGATCAAGTAACCATGGAGCTACCTTTGAGTATCAGAACAGAAGCTATAAAAGGTATAGCCACTGCTCTTAATCTTCTGATTATACTTTCCTTACTCTGACAAGTTATAAGTAGCAAAAAAAAAAAAAAAAAAAAAAAAAAAAAAAAAAAAAAGTTATAAGTAGCAAGATGTTAATACTGTGTAGAGTTGGTTAAGTTCAAATAGGTTAAGTAGATCTTGTTCATAGTGTATAAAAGTTGTGTACAACTCTGTTCTGACAACATACACTTGATTTTATCAGATGATCGGCCGGAGTACTCATCTCTTCAGGCCATACTCTATGGACCCTACTTGTTAGCTGGACTCACGAGCAAGGACTGGAGCATCACAACTCAGGCTAAAAAAGATGGGATATGGATAAGCTCTATACCAGAAACACACAACAGTCACCTTGTCACACTCTCACAACAATCTGGAAACTTATCTTACGTGTTGTCAAACAACAACCAAACCATCACCATGGAAGTATCACCTGGGCCAGGGACACAAGCCGCTGTTGCAGCAACTTTCAAGCTCGTGACTTCTGATTCCAAAGTACGAATCTCGGGTCCAGAGGAGCTAATTGGAAGCCAGGTTATGATTGAACCGTTTGATTTCCCTGGAATGCTTGTGATGCAAGCAAGTGATAGCTCCCTTGTGGTACAAGATTCTTCTTCTACTACTGCCAAAGAAGCCTCGAGCTTTCGTTTAGTAGCTGGAGTTGATGGGAAGCCAGGAAGCGTCTCTTTAATGCTAGAGAGCAAGAAGGGTTGTTATGTGTACAGTGATCAAACCATAAAGCCGGGGATGAAACTGAGACTCAAATGTGATTCTGATGCAACTGATGAGAAGTTTAAAGAGGCAGCAAGCTTTAGCTTAAGGAGAGGAATGAGTCAATACAATCCTATGAGCTTTGTGATGAACGGAGCACAAAGGAACTTTGTGTTAGCGCCATTGTTCAGCTTAAGAGATGAAACATACAATGTGTATTTCAGTTTACAAACTTGAAGAAGGATATACTTAAGCAAAAAAGCTCATTAAGTATTTTGGGAGTAAAATAAGAAGAAAAAAAAATGTGTTAAGGAAATAGCTACAAGGGGTTGTGTTTAGATGTTTAGTTTGTTAGGTGGTTTGTGTTAATCTATAAATGTATGTTTGCAAGTTACAATAAATATATAGACAAAGTTTTTAGTAGTTTGCAAGTCAATTTATTGAACATCTTTATTTTGTTGTTGTTCCACCAATGAGTAACATTCTTAAAACAGAGCAGACTGCTTGCAGTCTTCAAACATTTAATTTTTATTTTCACAATAATATTTTATCAGAAGAAGACAAAACTGTTTCATACGTTATTCAATTGAGATGCTATACACTAACAAAGCTAATCATTTTTTTTTAAAAAAACCTGGAAATAAATTAAAGTAACATTCGGATAAACAAAACTCAAAACTGGAAAATGCAAAACTTGTTGTTACAAAACTACTAAGTGAAGTGTGGGAAACAGCAGATGTAATAAGCTATGGAGAAGTGAAGGGAATGTGGTTATGATGAAGAGGATCGGATCCGGTCGGAACTTGTCTTTCTTCAACTTCATTAGCTGATCCAACATCAATCTCTTTCTCCTCCTGTGTTGTCCAAAATTTTATTTAATAATTTTATTCATTTCATATATCAAATACAAAGCTAGAAAACAAAAGTTCATAGCAATGTTCATACTCTTAAAAAAAAGTCGCTTAACAATGATTATGTTTCTATAAGAAGAAGGAATAACTATGTGTTTACCTTTTTCATGGCTTTGGTGTCTTCTGTTTGTCCTAACCAGAAGAACGCTAAAAACAAAACATAGAGAGGAGTCATGAATAGGTCGAGAAAACATGAAAAAGATATTGTTTAAGAGCCACTTACATTTTGTAGAAGAAGAGTGAACATGTGAGCACGTAAGAAGAGCGATTAAGAAGATGATTATGATAAAAACGCTTCCTTTGTATCTCATCATCGCCGCAGCCATTTTCAAAAAAAGAAATGAAAAAACCTCTCCACTTGTGGAAAAGAAAGGAGTGTGACGAGTGAGTGAGCGTGTCAAGAGGTGTCACCTAATTAATTAGGTGAAAGTTCCGGTTTTACCGTCGTTATGATGTGGAGCAGATGGGCAAATCCGTCATTTCGCTGTTTTTAACTTGTAATCCGTCACTTTAACTTGTACGGACGATGATTACCGTTTTACAGGCTGGAAGGAGTAAGACAAAATATCATTCTCGTACAAAATGTTGTGGAGCTACTGTAAAGGCGCCACGTTTCTTGCTTATTTGTTCTTTAGTGGAGCTATTGGGCCTTTTTATTGGCCCGTATAGGAGACAAAGTCGGGCTTCGTCGCATAATAAATCAATAATTAAGAGGGCCCATTTAGATAGACAACGAAATTAAGATATAAACGTTAATCTCATCACTCATTAATGAACTTTGCTCTATAAAAACCTCAAAGAAAGTTTATTCTTCTTTTAATTTTATGTATTGCAATATTGTAATTTATTTTAAATTTGTATTTGGTTGTGTTTTTATTATTTTATGTGCAATGTTAGATTTGATATAAATAAAACAGTTGTTAAAAAAATAAAAATAAAACTCAAAGACATGATTGCAAATAGCTTGTGTGTGGAGAGTTTAAAATATTTTTGGATGGATAAAAGTTAAAAACAGACTACATTGTTTCTACATTAATTTAAAACTAATGTCACGTCCATAAGATTCCCGCTACTTGTACCAACAACAACAATGGCTAGAGACTACTACATAAGACATCATCCCTTAGCATTTACAAGCCAAGAGGAGGAGAAGTGATGATATGATTGAATCATTCTTTGTTTCGAGAAGAACGATCCTTCCTATGACCTCCAAGGATACGAGAGATCTGAAGACCTCTGCTGAAAGCTTGATTAAAGAGCATACGCGTCTGGAACTCCGACACAAACGGGAACCAAGCCAAGAACGCCACTGGCGTGAACAGCAACAGTCCCATTACTATCTCGTATCCACGAGCTAGTGTCCTCACTGATCCCCAGAATCCTGCTCTATGCACCACCGGCTTACACGCTTGCGCAATCTGCAAAACACACACAACACACAACAAACTGTGTTTTTACCCACACACAAACAACATTTCATTTCTAACATAACAAAGACTTTAAACTAGAATGTTTTTTTACTTACCAAGAGCATACCCCAGCCTGTAGGCATAAATGCAAGGATGCACACGATTATGTCTTGGATAGTCATGTGAGCAAGTGTGATCAATATCACAATGATTGCGATGAATGTCAAGAATATTAGCCCCTTTATCAACCGGAACATCAGCTGGAAACTTGCACTGAACTTCCTCCTCCCAACAGAAACAGTCTGAGACAACCAAACCGCAACAATTATTGACAAAATCCCTGTAACTACCAAGAGAATGATATAAGCAAAAACTCACCTTCATCACAAATAGTATCAAGAAAATGACCAGCCACGATACTCCATAAACCTGCGTCAAACAGGTAATCGAATTAGATTATACCAACATTTAAGAGAGCTTATAGACTAGGAGGTAGAGTCTTTACATACCAGAAAGTTTTTAGTATCCTTTGTAATCGTGAGATGATAAACAAGCCCGTATTGATAGATAAAGAACCGCAGAGACAACAAAATCTCAACAACTATGCCACGCTTTCCTGAATGTCTGAGATGTTCTTGCTCTTCTTCCCACCATGACTCCCAACTTTTCTCTGCCGGGACACCAATACCACCAATGTTGTTTATCCATTTATTCCAATCTGTCCAGTCATCAACAATCTTCTGCCACTCGAAACCAGAAGGATTGAAGAGGAAGGGAGCAAAAAGCCAAGTTCCCACCATGAACCACATAGATATGGTGATCAAAAGATACGCAATCACGCCTCTGTAAGCACTTCCAAAGATCTGATAGACAACAAGCAGCAGCATCATCTCAAGCCCTTTTACAAAATGGCTCCGGGAATAGAGTCTGTAGTTATCAGCGAATTTCGCGTGGAAGACGACGAACCCTCTGCCTGTGGACCTGTACTTGGCACCCCCATGAAGTAAGGTTCTTCCATAGTAGTGAGTCTTTGTCCCAAGAGAGAATGTAAAGAACACTGGCGCCAACTGAAGCTGCATCAGCACGAACTCACTCAAGGCTGTCCTGAAACCCCTCTCTAATCCGATTTCCATAAGCATAGGTAAAGCCATCAGGAATCCAATCTGAACAAAGGACTGTGAAGCAAGAGCTATCTGCAAAGGTGTATTGTCTCGGATGCCTTTCTGTGTACTTAGTCCTTGCTCAAGCCCACTCAAAACAAGATAGAGACGTCCATAAAGGAAGATATAGACAGTGAGAACTGTAATCTGTGGAAACAGCAGAAAAAAATAAATCAGATCCGAACTATTTGTGGTTTAACCAAAACAGGACGAAAAATATTTACCAGAGTGCTGAAGTAAAAGCCGACAGTGGTGAAGTAACACGACATCATACGGAAAAAGTCAAAACGGTGTCCAAGCCTGTAAATGTCCCGACTTAATGTCTGCTCTCCATTGCCGTTAGCAATCTTGGCCTCAAACATAGAGATCTGATTTAGACCAACATCTCTTCCTTTGCCTACTTGGATGTACTCATGATGGGTAACATTTCCTTCACGAAGGGTAGAATTGAATCCTGCTCAATACACAACACCAGCAATCAATCATCAAGGACATCAATCAGAATCAATGGGAGAAAAAAATAGTCCTTCGCAAGAGTAGAACATACCTGCAAATATATCTTCACTGAGGTTGATTACCTTGGATGCTTTGCTAACACCACCTCTTGTTAGATGAAACAGTCTATCGAAGACATCAGGATGACCATAATGGAAACGGACTCTATATAAAAGCAAAAAGACCAACATTTTGATTTAGGAATGGAAAACAAGAAAATTCATGTCGGATAATCACTACAGTTGATCTTAGTAAGCACACTTACCTTAAAGGATTTGCCAGTAATCGCTGACCAATGGTAACAAAACTAGTCTCTTGATTTGACATGAACCAAGCAAGGGAGGAAACGCTGCAAAGTGTTAACAACATTTGCTCTTAGAGAAAATTAAAATTTATTGAGCTAAAGAGAAACAAATTCCTACAATAAATGGAAATGCAAAAAGTACTCACGATCCAGTAAATATATGTTCCCTAAGTCCAAGAATGGATGGATGCCTCACACCATCATGCTTTGTAAGAAATTCTTGAAGCAAATTCCTCATCTTTAACGCTTCCTCCATGTAATTATCCTGAATAAAACGGCATCAAGGGAAACTTAATATCAACATGAAGCGTCGAGATAACTTTATGGCTGAGCAAAAAAGAATAAATGCAGACCTGATTCATATCAATTGTCTGTAAACCTTCCCCACGAGAAAAGATAATAGCATGATTTTGGTTTTCTGGCTTTCCCTCTCCAAGAATAGCAGGTCCTGGAAGCTTGATCCTATAGATAACCTATAAGGTAGAAATATTTAATATAGACACCCATGCAAGCATAAAGACAAAACAAGAACTAGATCTATCATCAGACAGCATATATAAGTAAAAGTAACTTTGTTGGAAAGAACCATGTTCCCTAGAGGTAGAACCATTTACTAAGCGACGCAGGTGTATGACATTAGATTGCCATTTAATTAATCATTGAGATATGTTGGACTGCTTTGCATTACCTGGTCAAGATTTTGTGCTAGGCTGGAATGATCAGTTGACTTAGGCACCTTAACCAACACAGAATAATACACTTTCTCGTTTCCTTTCTTTGACTTGTCTTTCACTGGTTCTTCAACCTCATCAATATATGCAACACGGAGCGAAGGGTATCTGCCAGTTGAAAGGAAAGCCATAAGTTTCAAACAAGTTAAAAAGACAGCAAAAAAAAAGGATTATTCTGCACACCTTGTCATAAGCCTCAATATATCCTGCGCGCGAGGATCACCGGATCGTTTATGAATACCATATTGTTGACATGATACAACATATGTAAACTTCATGTCAGCAACAGCTTGGCACTGTGCCCATAATGATCTTTCGCCTCTTGAGTTGTTTTCTGAGTTTAGTTCTACAGCCTTGTAACCTTCCATCAAATCTGGAGAAGCAAATTAGCATCAATAAGCAGCTGGGAGAATTTTTTTTCAGGCGCATTTGTAGTATATAAAATTAACGAAAGAACACCTTCATGCATAGCCATGTCAAGAAATGCCTGAAGCTCAATTGCTTTTCGATAGTACATCATTCCTCTTACTGTAAAAAAAATATCAAAAGATTAACAACAAAAATTTAATGTATCCATATAACCTTTCACTGAAAAGAAAATTGCCAAAAGAGCATACCTGTTCTAGTCAAAGTCTGCCCCCTATATGAGGCCCATAAACGAAGTTCCTCCTCTAATTCAAGAGACTCTTTAATTTCTTCTTCATTTGACTTCACCCGCTCAAGAAAATTGTTCCATTCATCTACAGATAAAAGGTCAGGTTCATGACGTGGTTCAAGAATTTTTAAGCTACAACTTCAACAGAATATATAAATAAAATTAAAATTAACCTGGAAAAATCTTTTGTAGGTAAAAGAGGATCGAGACACCATCTTCATTTGGTGTGTCCAGGTCATGCATGGAAAAGAGGACCTCTTCAGTGTAATATGGAGTCAAAACACTACAATAAGAATAACAAGGAGAAAAACAACTTGATCAGTTTGGTAATGAAAAGTCTCCACAAAAGCAAAAAATACAAACAACAACCCAACCCAACTAGTTCAATTACGAAAAGCAAAATGTACTTCAGCAGAATTATGAACCACTAGCACGATATATACATCATGATACAGCAGTTGTAAAACTTCGTTTTCTAATGACACTTTGGAGGAAACTATACAGTGTGTTTTAACTGGAAATCAAGAATATTCCAAGATGATGGATTCCAAATATAAAAATGATTTCAAATGACCAAAAAGGCTTACGAAAATGATAGCATGTTGCGAACTTTCGGT